CTACCTCAGCCTCTCCGCCATCATCGACGGCAAGGTGGGGGCGCCCCGACACGCTAAGGACATGCTAAGGTCACGCTAAGGACATGGGAGTCCATAGGAAGGATTTCGGGGGGGGCTGCGGTGGCAGCATCCCCCTCGTTTCCCCGACAGGATCACGCTGATCCGGGGGAACCACGAGAGCCGGCAGATCACGCAGGTCTACGGCTTCTACGACGAGTGTCTGCGTAAGTACGGCTCCGTCACCGTCTGGCGCTACTGCACCGAGATCTTCGACTACCTCAGCCTCTCCGCCATCATCGACGGCAAGAGGGGGAAGGGGCTGGGAGGGGTTAGGACACGCTAAGGACATGCTAAGGACATGGGAGTCCATAGGAAGGATTTAGGGGGGCTCAGCACCAGCGACTTTGCTCTCTGTGGCATCGTCTTGGTCACAGAGGGCACCAGAAAAGGGCTGGGAGGGGTTAGGACATGCTAAGGTGCGGCATCGTCGTAGTCACAGACAGTACGAGAAGGGGGCTGGGAGGGGTTAGGACACGCTAAGGACATGCTAAGGTCATGATTAGGTCACGCTAAGGACGTGGGAATCCATAGGAAGAATTTTGGGGGCTCAGCACCAGCAGCTTCACCCTCTGTGGCGTCGTCTTGGTCACAGAGGGCACCAGAAAAGGGCTGGGAGGGGTTAGGACACGCTAAGGACATGCTAAGGTCGTGATAAGGTCACGCTAAGGACGTGGGAGTCCATAGGAAGGATTTTGGGGGCTCAGCACCAGCAGCTTCACCCTCTGTGGCGTCGTCTTGGTCACAGAGGGCACCAGAAAGGGGCTGGGAGGGGTTAGGACATGCTAAGACATGCTAAGGACATGCTAAGGTCACGCTAAGGACATGGGAGTCCATAGGAAGGATTTCGGGGGGGGCTGCGGTGGCAGCTTCGCTGTCTGTGGTGTCGTCGTAGTCACAGACAGTGCGAGAAGGGGGATGGGAGGGGTTAGAACATGCTAAGGACATGCTAAGGACACGCTAAGGTCACGCTAAGGACATGGGAGTCCATAGGAAGGATTTTGGGGGCTCAGCCCCAGCAGCTTCGCTCTCTGCAGCCTCGTTGTTGTCATGAACAGGAGTAGAGAAGTGCTGGGAGGGGTTAGCACACGCTAAGGACACGCTAAGAACATGCTAAGCACATATAAGGGGGTTGCAACATCCCGTCTGGCTCCATTTTGGGGGCCCTGGGTGGGTTCCGTGTCACCCTGTCGGTCCTTCTAGCATGCTGGGGAGGGTTGAAGGATCGTACATGCTAAGAACACGCTAAAGTCATGCTAAGAACATGCTAAGCACATGTAAGGGGGTCACAGCACCCCCTGGGGCTCCATTTTGGGGGGTCTTGGGTGGGTTCTGTGTCCTCCCATGTGTCCATGTAGCGTCCTGGGGAGAGTTGAGGGGTTGCACACGATAAGAACATGCTAAGGTCATGCTAAGAACACGCTAAGCACATACAAAGGGGTCAGAACACCCCCTCTGGCTCCATTTTGGGGGCGCCTGGGTGGGTTCCGTGTCCCCCCGTGGGTCCATGTAGTGACCCAGGGAGGGTTGAGGGGTTGCACACGCTAAGAACACGCTAAGAACATATAAGGGGGTCG